TACCGTTATCGTACACCAACCGTTTACATAGTAGTTGGCATCGATATGTCTTCAATAAAAAGCTAGAGTGTGTGATTGTTTGGAACGTAATAAACACATATTTTCTAAAAGCTGTTCAATTATTGTTTATGAATATATTTATTATAGCTGAAATGCTCTAACAGTCAACAATTAATTAAAACGGTGATTTCTAGAGTTAAAATTATACGGAAAAATTATAATATCTTGGTATATCTATGCTTCGTTTATGTTAATAAAAAACAAAAAATATGATCTATTTATATTTATATATATAGTGTAAAGTGTCAAACATGAATAATGACCATAAATAAATATAGAAACTATTAAGATTTCATCATAATATAAAAATTTTGCAAAAAGTAAAAAGTTTTCTATCAAAATTGAAAGTAATAATCAATGAAATAATATATATACTTGAGAAGAATTGTTAACAGTGTATTGTCACGGAAACTAGATTATTTTGTAATTATCATTATTATTATTATAACTAGTGTTTAAAAGCACGTTATAGTAAAAATTAAAAAAAACAAACTTTAATGATAATAAATACAATTATATAATATATATTGCACATTTTGATACATATTACTGGAAAGTTCTGGACAGTATTTCAAAATAAACTCACATAAATGAGAATCAGTGATTAAACAACGCTACTAATAATAATGAGTTTATTAATTTAAACTCCCAAGTGACTAGATGATGGATAAAAACAATAGGTAGGTTAATAGTCCATGTATTTTAATGTGTAAATCAGTGGTTCTTAACCTATGAGTCGTAGCCCACTTGTTGGCCGTGAACCAAATAATATTAACATTACAAACGTATATATTTAAAATATTAAATATCAGCAAGTGAAAAAGATTCGTTGATTGAATTTTCATGTGATCAGGTTCTAAAATTGTTTTTTTAAACCACACCATTAGTGCCATTCTAATTAAATGTTAGGGAAGGAATTCAGCAATCGTTAAATTCTTTCGACAACCTATCTATGTTAACGAGCTTTTTCTACTTTAATTTTAAATAAATATAGAAATAATATAAATGTTGAGAGTGATTTAAGGTCAAAACTATCCAGTTTTAATTCAGATATTGCCTCTTGTGCCGAACAAGCAGGGTCAAAAATTATTTTAAATTTTTTAACTCTTGGATAATCAGGTTCAAAAATGTTATTTTTCTTGATAAACAATTATTTTTAATTATTTTTTTAATTACTGATGTATATGCACATTATATATATATATTTATATAATATTTTTCTTATACAATTTGTAGTCTGTACTGCTAAAAAGGTTGGGAACCACTGGCGTAAATTATATGTTTATGAGTGTGTTCATCCACATTGTTAGTCGATAAAAAGTGCTATTAACAATAAAAATCAAATTTTCAAACACAAATAAACAAGCATTGTATGGCATAATTTGGACTTCTAGAAAACGACTACGTATCTAAGTGTATCAAATGAATTTTGAGCTGCAAGACCCATTCGGACAGTTTTAATAATAAATGTTAGACGTACGTATTACATAGTTTCATGCGTCTATGCTCTATAGTAAGGTATATGTGTTTTACATTTGCTCGTAAGAAACTACTCAGTATAATTTATTGATGAAAGTGAAGTATAAGAAAATATATGATATGTATATTCTCATGTTTTCTTATATGAATTTAAATTTTCACATGCTGAATTTTAAATGATATCACTTTTTATTTTAAATAAACCCCTTAAAATATCATAAGAATTATTAAGGCATGTATAAACTATCAATTGGAAAATAGAAGAAAAACAAAATATATCATTATTACCTTATCATTCACTGGAACATAAAAATATTATACACATCAAATATTATAAATCATATACTTGTATTTCATGATTAACCCGTTTGAAATTACTGTTCTGTTATTTTTAAATGATTTTGAATCTAGGAAAATAATTTTAAATTATTGAGTACATAAAATGATACTGAAAATAAAATAATTAAGTTTTCGCAGGTTTGTATGTATGTGCAAACACCATGCATATCATAACGTAATTATTGTAATTTCCTATGGAAGCAAATACTAACCATGTACATAAAAAGGAAGTAATTTTTTTAATTTTTTTTTTTTTTTTTTTATTACATTAAAACTCTATACCGTTTTGTACTTCAATAGTTATTTCGTACAGTTTCAATTCACGACAATTAATAACCATTTAAAATATAACTTAACACATAGTAATATATAAAAATTATTTTTTAAAACTGTTGCTGTCTTATGTAATAATAATTTTCACAACATTAATTCAAGATTATTACTTTATAATTAGAAATAAAAATGATTACCGATAGACGACTCTCATATAATCGGAATGGAAGATGAGGGTGAAAAAAAACAAAAAAAGGTACTTTGATTGCAAAAAAAAATCATTTTCGAGATAAAATTAACGCGTTTAAGTTTATTTTGGACGAATGAAAAAAGTACTTTTGTTTTACCAAATGATTTTTACACAAAATATTAAATTACATGAATGTGTACTAGGCAATCAGTTTACCTGAACCTAGATTCTTTATTTGTACATTTATTTAAATCCATTGCATATTATAGGTAATGTTAATTTTGATCACATTGATATGAAAAAAAAAATTAGAATAACATACCCAGTTAATTTTATAATTTAAAATTTAATTTAAATTTTACAGTCGAATGAAGAAATGTAATTATATTTTTTAAACCAAATAAAAAAGTTATTATACTGGGAGTGTACCAATAGTTGTAGTTTAATATTTTGTTCAACTGCAAATAGTTTTGAAGATAATTCAATAAATCATAAATATTGTATATTTATCATTAATAATGCATTATTATTAGTGATTATTATTGTAATAAGATTAATAATAATAATCTACAAATTTATATCAAATATAAGTAGTAAAATACTTGAAATAAAAATTGTATTAGTTTTAATTAAATCGTGAATTTCAATAAGGACTTATATATGAGATTTTAAATTTTTCAGGAAACTAAAAAAAACTAATTTTCTTTTGAATTATTTTCTGTATTTTAGCAAGCCAAGAATAATTAATTAATTAATTCATCGCAATAGAAAGAATCTGAGCCTTTTTCGCTCATAAAATATCGGTCTATATGTGTAGATGAAAATAAATGTAGCAAAATCTATTTTGATAAAAACTCGAGATCAGCCCTTTTTGAAATTCATGATTCAATTATATTGAAAAGTTTTTTTAAATAACATATTATAAAATACGTTTTATATTTAAAAACACATTTATCATAAACTATTAATAATATTTAAAATTAAAAACCATGAGTGATAGGTTAGATCGATTAATATAAAAATAATTAGATGTTCATAAGTTGTATTTAATATTGAATTAACAGTAAACCAATAAGATTACATTTGATCAAAATTGATTGCCAAATTGCAGGTAGGTTTTCGATACTGCTGTTTATAAATGAAGTATTAGAGATTATATTTTTAACTATAGCTGATTTCAGCAGTGACTTTAAGTTAGAAATTCATCAGTTATTAGAGAATAAAATAAAATACGCAAAAGATTATAATATGAAACAACTGTTTGAGGATTATTGATTACTTAAACGAATGTCACAACATAGGTTTATTAAAATTCACAAAATTAAAAATATGCGAAAAAAAAAATAAAATTAAACTAATGATATATATTTCGATTATTTAACTAAAAATTTTTATAATGCATTTACAAATATATAATTTTTAAACTAAATTAATCAATTATTTATTCATACAGCAAGTGATTATCGTATTAAAATACAATATAAAATATTGCCTTGCGATTAATTGGAAAGAAGAATTTTGATCTTATCCAAGCCTAAGTATTATTGTAAATTAAATACTTCATTAATTCGAAGTTTTAATTATAGGGAACTTGTATTTCACACAACTATCATCTCGACACCACGATATTAAACATGGACTGTATCAGTTTGAAGTAATACAATTGTACTATTGATACGGAACAATTTAAATAATATCACACTTGCTGTACCACATATGTGAGTTATATCATTAAATAATAACACTGATTTATCTGTTTTGATCTTTCTATACTTTAAGTTTCACCTCATTCTTCTAGTTCTACTGTCCTTTTTCATGCCACTATCAGCTATATCTGGCTAGTACAAGTTTCTATAAAATTTAATGTAAACTTCCATGGCAAATCCAGCTTTAAACAATTATTTGCTACATTATATATTTCATAATTTATCATTTTAATCTCTATATATTTACTGACAATTTGAATCAAAGACCAGTTCACACAATTCCATATCAGAATGAAGGCAATAGACGGAGCCCCACACATTAAAATCAGTAAAAATACTGCGAAAAATTGCAGATTTAAACCACGTATCTTAAAAGAAGTATTTTTCTATCCACAAAATTACTATTATCATTGTAAAAACGACCACTAATACTCTTATACATATAATAATAATGGAATATTGTGAACATTTTATATTTTCCTTTGTTCTAGTTTTTTTTTTTTCTTATTGTTTCTACAAACATTTTTTGTTGAAGAAATTACATTTTAAATGAAAGAAAATAAAGATAACTGTATTTATATAATTATATTATCTTCTACAATGTTTTCATGAATCATTTGGGAGTAAGTGTTCAGCCTTTTTATATCTACTATATCAGTACGTTTATTATTTATTTATTTTGGTACACAAAAAATAATACACAAACAAATTAATAGTTTATATGTACAAATAAAAGAATAAATACGTGGTCTGAAGTATTAAGATATGTGTACTGTACGCATAATATATTACAATATCAAACAAAATACACATATCTCAATACTTTAAGCTTCGCATTTATTAATTTATATATTTTTTTACGAGTATTAACTATTTACTAATTTTTGTTTTGTTTTATTATTTTATTGAAAAAAAAAAAATAATAAGTAAATAAAAATTCGTGTGTAACTTACGTAACGCAGCAATAGATGGTTTTTCGTGTTTTTTCGATTCGCACTACTCTGTCCCTGAGCGATTCGAGAGGGTGGGAAGGGGTTGTACCGATGCGTTTGGGAGCCGGTTCACGACTGTTTGCCGCGGTGGCAACGAACGTGCTTAAAACCGATGGCGAATGCGCCACCGACCGAGACGACTACGACGACGGTGACGACAACGACGCCGATGTAGTGAAATCACCCCTTTTTCCCGACGAATTATCCCCCTTCCCTCCAAACCGTCCCGGCCGACAACGCACCGTTGCCGTGCAATCTTTTGACTGACCGTTTCGCCTTCCATCGCACGTGCACAATACTTGTTTTCCAGACGGTCCGAAAAACACAACCGCCTAATAATCGTTCTTGGTTATCGTCACCGTTCTGCCACCATAGAGTTCAACAATAAATAAACAAAAAAAAAAAAATAAAAATAAAAATAAAAAGAATAAGATAATATTACGTTGGATGCACCGCGATAGGCAGCAGTTGCTGATGTTCGGCTATGTCCATCGTTTGGCACCGAACCACGTGGATGAGGGGAAACATTACTATCCTCTCGACTCCTCCTGATGACCTAATGTAACGCCACGGGTGGACTAATATATACTCGTATAAATATATTTAATAACGTGTGATGTAACACAAATAAATAATATAGAGTAATATAAAAAAATATAGAAAAAAAATATTTGCTCTGGTGTATGTATGTTATCATTTATAAAAGAAGATTAGTCTCTGAACTGTAACGGTCAAACAAATTTTAAAATTATTTGGTTCTTTATTTTTTCTGAAAAACCTTCAAAATTAATGAATGCTAAAAATTTGTTCTGTTTACATTATTCTAATACTATTTCTAAATTATTTATCTATTTAATTGGATTTCAATTTATTAATACATTTTTATAAATAATAAAAGTATTTTAAGACGTTTAAAGTAATCTTTTTTTTTTATTTATAATACTTCCTTTAACATTAAAGTTACATACTTCAATAAGATAAAAGTTTAAATAAATATTATAATAATATTTTTAATTATATGTATAAATGAAGTGATTTATGATAAAAGAATACATTAAGTTTAAAATAATTTGTCTATAAGATTGTATGAATTAAAAGTTAACATTTTTATATGACAACAAAATTTAATATATCATTCAACATATTGTTATTTTTCAAAGAGAAAAAATTAAGAAATGATTCTAATCCAGCATTAAGTTGGTTTTATTCAATCGTATATCATTACAGTGTTATCGTATTTTGTATTCCTTCGGTAAAATAAATTTAAAGTTTCAAATCATTCTTTAGATGTCAGACATATTGCATATAAAACTGAAGATGAAAATATGTCAAGTATTACCGGACTGTAAAAATTAAAGCTATACATACAAGCAACATATATAGGATATATAGGATATGTAAATATCCGTTAACCGTTAATGTATTAAAAAAGTGATTCGAGGCCAGAATCGGTTCACGTATTATACAAATGAATATTATACATACGTAGAAAAACGATTCGCGAAAAAATTGTTTATCATAACAGATTTCAAATATAAAATTAGAATATGGTAAATATAAACCAGTGTTACAATTAAAAATTATTAAGCCCCACATTACTTATTCAATCGACAAAAGTAAAAAATTTAACATATTTGCATAAAAACTTAAATTCATTTAAGGTTTTCAACATTTTTTATGAAATCTACTAAATAGAACGACTATGATATAGAGTTATCTTCTGCAGTGTTAAACTTCCAATATGATGAAATATAGCTGTAGATTATTTGGAGCATTATCAGTACCAGATGAACTTGGAACAGAGAAATGAAAAAATATACCATTAGTACATTTTATACATATGTAATAAAAAAAATTATTATAAAAAAAATACCAATATATTGATTATTTTATTCGGAAATCTACGCAGTATCGATTTCAAATATTTATAGTTCAGTACTTGTTTAAATCAAAGTGGATTTAGTGATATAGTAAATAAATGGATTTAAATGTTGAAGGCGAGTCATGACGGGTTGTCACATTGGTAACGCGCGCAACAGACAGGAAATTGGAGAGTTAATTATAAAAACGTATCAACTTTAATTGGCTAAAAAAATGAAATATAACACTAGGTTTCAAAGTTACTAATTACACAGCGATTACGTACTAATATTGTTCAATGTATATGTAATATTTATGTCCACCATGTGATCAAATTGAATTTTTTTAAATTTTTATTTTTCGAAAAAAATGGTCTGAAATCGAAACTTTGCATACAAATTACATGTATGTATAACTGTATTATATTATGTACTACACGTATTGGTATTTAATATTATAATTTGCACAAATAAATTATGTTTTTAGTAATTTGAAATGTTCAAACATTAAACCATTTTAAAATTAGATGAATATCGAAATAAAACAACTATACATACAACTATTTGGAAAATACACAATAATACCAATATAATTCAATATAATTATTTTACGCCTTAAATTTGTAAATGATAATAGCTTGTTATAAATTAAATATTAATAAACTCTGAGTATACAATGTATTCACTCAGCTGTGCTATTAAGTATATTGCGCATTGATTGGATTACCAATAAGCGTTGAGGGAAACACGAATAGGTATGAAATTTCGAAATACATATTTGCCCGAACATATCTAAATGTAACGAATTTACACACACTATTCGTTTCAAAGATTTTTTTTTTAATGATTATCTTTAGAACTTAAGTAATCACGACGAGTTACAAGCGTTATGAAAACGCAAATTAATACATTTTGATAATTACTACGTAAAATCAATTAAAAACATTATGCAAAACGAATAAAATATTTCTTGACCTGGAATGAATCATTCCGGGTTTTTCTATAAGATGAAATTTATTAAAAACCTCATGAATAGTAGTAACCATAGAAACTTGTAAGCTCTCCGGGTTATGGCCTAACCAAAAAATAACTAGAAACTTAGAAGACTAGAAATTACTAAATATAAATCGCTGTTTACGGGTGTTGTTTCAAAAATTGAAATTTACCATAAGTCTTAAAAGATAGCGGTAATAATAAATTAATATTACTTCTTGAATTAGTATAATACATACAATTATAGCACTATAGTTTTTTTTTCTTGTAATTCAAAATCATAAACCATACGAATAATTGTATAATAACTCTATAAATTAAAAATTAAACAATTGAGATAAAATTATTTGATTAAACTTAAAACGAACTCAAAAAAAGGATAAAAAGTATCAAAGCAAAAGAAAGAAAATAAGTATTTGAAAGAATTACACTCTTGAACCATACATTTTTTTTTATAATAATTTACATTATAATTTTCATATGAACACTGTTAGCTGTAGAATTTAAGTTTTACATAATTATAATTTAAATAAATAACACTTCATGACACCCTCTTTATTATTCATATTTAAATTGGTATCTATTACAAATTGGTATTACGTTTCCTAAAAAATTGAGTGTATTTACTTTCATTATAGCATAGCATTCGGAAACAAAAATGTAAGTGAAATGTAAGTGCAAAAGACCGAAATATATTATAATAAAAACAGCATAATGGAAGATTTGCATACTTGTGGTTTAAAACAATTTTAGTACAGTTAGTATATTAAAGAAACACTAAAATTATTTCGATGATCATAGGGTATTAATAAGTGGTAAAATATAAATTAATGTAGAAATATTTGCTTAAGTAGAAAACTGGAGAAACGAGAGGACAATTTTTCAAAAAAGAATACTTCGACTCCTGTTCATCACTGCTGTCTAAAGTTTAAATAATTAATCCAACTAACATAAACTACCTGTTTATTATTAGATTTATCCACGTATCAACATATTCAGAATATTATCTTTTTAAACGACTCACAGAAATATTTATTCATTTAGCCGTTTAATATTTTTCATTTTTTATTTTTTTAATATTATCATATATTTTCAATTGGAAATTTAATTCATCGGAAGCACTTGCAGCTTTCTGTTTGTTTTATCTAATTTAATTTTGACCATGATTATTTAACGACCGTCTTCAGAGTAATGTGTTAACAGCGATAGTCACTATAGTAAAATTATCTTTTTTTTTATGGTAAATGTTCTTATTTCTGTCTTCTTGTCACACGCGACGCTTTTTGATAGGTGATTGCAATCAAGGAAATCACAGTGCAGCCACTGATATATTCAATTGGTTGTTATTTTTTTGAAACAGTGGTTGATGTAAAATTTTTTGGGCAAGATTTCAAAACTAACGTTTCAACTCACTTTTTCTTCCGTTCCTATATAGCTGGTACATTCAGTATATAAAAAGTTTAGAAGTTGATATCAAAATACGAGCATTACATGTTCAATAAAATATTTTGCAATTTTTATCCATGAAGTAAAAATATAATTGCATTCTCACTCTAAATGGATTTTCACCCGACAACAATAGAAAAGGCACAAAAAGTAACAACTCGAATTCCAAAAAATTTATCTAGACGTTTAAAAGAAACTATCAAAAAGATGCTTATACTCCAATTGAAAACTGTTACTTAAATCATGCCACCACTGAATGCCTTCTTCTCTTATCTGTCTGCGTTCCCTTATTTTACTCTTTAAACTTACATATTGGAACTTCTTGAGTACTTGTACATTGGATTTTTCGTAAATATAATATACGAGTAATTGTTCAAGAGTAGGTAAACGGTTTTATTGCAATTCATAGATTTATATAAAATCAACATATAATTTAAGTAATGATTTAAAAAAATACTTCAAACGTAGGTATAAAATAACATTATACAGTAATGCAACCTGAGAATCCACGACTAGTTCTAGGGCTCACAGAAAGGTACTGATATCATGAGACCTCTTTATTCCCCGTAGAATAATGTCTACAGCAATGCAGTGCACCTAATTTCTGTTTTATTTTTTTTTCAGACTACTTGTAATATGTCCAAAAATGTGTTTTTTCTCATTCTCTATGCACCCACTTTCATTTCGATTAAATCTTTGTTTTTCTTTGTCGTAGTTAATCTATCACGTATTGGCATAAAGAAAATGCGTCACACGTTGCATCCGTCTTACAAACGTACAATATATCACATTTGCGTTCAGTAGTTC